GTTGAGCCGCAACTATTTTGAACGAAGCTAAGTGTCATTTTATTAGTCAAAGTTATACAGGTTGGTACATAACGTTTCTATAACTTTGTTAAACTTTCGTGTTTTAAATATTTAACACATTACCACCTTGGTTTCAACTGTGGTGATTGTTACACGTCAGTATTTTACATATAGATGCATATCTGGATATGAATTGGCATTGTGGTACGTTTACGTTGATGATATTATGATGTTAGAGTCTGAGGGGGGCACGACAGAAGTTGAGATTATCCTCTGACAAAATAATGAATAACCGAGGGCTTTTGCTCAAAACAACATGTCTTTATATGTACCTTGTTACCAACAAAGATTAGCAAACGTGTAAACTCAGAACTCAATGTGGTGCATTGGTGAACCACAGTTTAGAAAGGTGACTCATCAAACCTAAACTAAACGTTTGAATTTGCTATAACCTCTTATAATCCGAAGATACATGTACTGGATTTTTTATTCTTATATGTTTGTGTGCGGACTATTTCAGTTATTATTGTTCGTGAGTGCGTACCGGTCACACTACGATGCCAGTCGTGGTGAATACGATAGGAGAGGTCTCCGTCCAGCGGTAACGAGTACAGTGGTGTATTAGAGAGAACTCCGGTAGCGTGGCTAGTGTCACCTAAGGGAGAAGATCCTGGTATGTACAAACTCATTTTATTAGCATGCACAGGATTACTGTACTCAACCAATGGACAGAGATGGCTGAAACAGGGGCGTTAAGTTTAGTTAGGACTTAACTTAAAATTAGTCTAACACGAGTCAAGAACTACCTTATAACTATGCGCGATCGAGCATCTATTACATATTAAGCATTGCATTACAGTAATAGTGGACAGTTGCGTTATATTCCATATGAATTAAGTAACTGTTAGGCAAGATTGCTATACGTAAAATTGGCTCGTACTAGTTATTAGGGATAATATATCTATACATATATACACAAATAACTGAGATTGAAAAGTGTTATGAAGGGAACCACAATTTTAACATAAACCTTCGAATGGAATAAAACAATAATTGTTGCTGTAGATAGGCAAATGTCACGCTAAGTAGTATCAGCTAAGTGGGGTTAGCATCCTCTTTCTGGCTGCTCTGAGAAGAAATATAAAACCAAACTCAGTGGCCACCTTATCGCTTAATATCAAACAAAATATAGTGGTGACATTGGCAATAGTAATGAGTGTCAAATAACTACTCGTATATTGATACATTTCGTATTTGCCGGGTAGATGTGTGAGGGGAGATTGTACACGGGTTCGATTCCCACTCGAAGTATAATTATGTGCGCGCCCGTAACTCAGAGTCATAGTGTGGACAAGTTTAGAAATGAAATTATATAGGTAATGTAAACTCTAATGAGCATTACCAAAATCGACAATAATTTATCGATGTGTAATTTTAACATGGAATCAAGCACAAACATAATCAAAATCTGGTGCTTCAAATCGTACGTTCGGCCGCGACTTAATCGTAGGTAAAGTTAAATAATTTTGATTACTGTTTAATGCAGAAGCTGCTTATTAGCTTTCAGCCTTGCACAGGCGTATATTAGATTATACTAGAGGTACTATTTGGTAAAACAGAAAAAGGTGTTAGGGCGCGGATGAAGCAGCGGAAGAAGCTAGTCAAAGTGAATAATATCATTTATTATCAACGGC